GGGAGAGGGGGGGGGTGCGGGGGGTGCTTGTTAGGGGGGGGGGGGGGGGGGGGCGCTGTATGTATGGCGAGGAGGTGGGGAAGAGGGGTCGGGGGGTTTAGAGGGGCGGTCCAAGCACGCTCAGCGAAAATATGCCTCATGCACTCGTTGAACTTGGGGCCTGCGCGGGCTTCTCTCAAGGTTACAGGAGAGGCCTGTACGGAGAAGAGCAGGAAAAAGAAACCCTGTAGCAACCGTCCACATACAAGAAGTTTTTAATTGGATCGTTTCTGTTTTATAACTTGAGAATATGTTTATTTTTAATTAAACTATTTAAAAACTGTTAAAACAAATTAAAAAATAATCACCTCACCCTTTATTTATTTACATAAAAGTATCTGAACAGCACATTCAATCCCAGCCACTGTCTTTCTGCAAGTGTCTGTTACTCAGATAACAGAAACAGCAAGCAATCACCTCTGACACCAGGTTTCCTTCCCTTTACAGAGCCGAGCAATGTATCCGCTGCCGCACCCCTGAGCTCTCGACCACACAAAGGTAGGAAGCGGTGGCCAGAGCAGGCCACATTGTGACGAGGCCACTAAATCACCCTTCGTTTTATCCACCGCTATTTACGCACGTTTCAGCAGAGGAAGCCATAAAAACAACAAGGCCTAGTAAAGAGGGCTGTTAGCTAATTGAATGACATGGATAGTTAGGGTATACAAGCTTTTTCAGTGTTACATCTATAAAGAACAAAAACACACACATTTCCAACACATTAACAATGTTATCTCCTGGGATAAGGTACATTAGTGCTGTCAAACAGTTCATAATAACTGTATCTTTGGGACTTAGCTGATATTAAACAGATACAAATATAGCATTACTTTATCATCAAAGATACTTTCTACATTATTCAGTATTTACCTTTGACACTGTGTTTGAAAACACCTTGTAGCTAATGCTAAAATGGCAATTGAAGGTCATGGGTTATTGCTTAAATTATTGCTTAACAGTATACGAATCTAATGAAGTAACTTTACAAACTTTACATTGAGGAGACAACCAACTAAATAAGAACAGCAGCTCTGGGCAGACATAATGCACCTGCACACTTTTTTTTCCAATTATGTACAAATCAAACAAAATAAATTCCAAAAGTAAAACTATGCCATATAATGCAGCAATGCTACATCTAAATCAACTACTGTCGCTGAGCAAAATGGTTGTTGATTGTTATGTAACAGTAAACTGGACCTGTAAGTTTTACACAAACTTAGGTCAGAGAAAGGGTCAAAGGTCAAAAGGTAATAAATACTCAGCACATTGAATTGGTCACTTGCCTTTACCCAAGAATTAGTAGGTCATTAGCACCTCATAAACATTCCACTTCTCTATTTAACAACTGCTTAGACCTGCTTTTAGACAAACAGCTAAGCAGACTTTTTTTTTTTTAGCAAGAATGGAAAACTAACATACATCTGGTGCATTAAAACTAGAAGGGGATTATGCCTTATTAAGTTTTCAGATATTGTTTTGATATGGACTTATACAACACATCACAAACAACACAGTCATTCACAACAAATTTCCGGAAAAACAATTTAGCACAAGATAAAGTGGGTTCTCTGAGTTCTTGATTGAAGTCGGCTTCAGCTTTGCCCCTGTGGCCATGAAGAAGTCTACTGTACCCACCGAGGGCCATATAGAGAAGCATTTGTAAACAAGAGGGGAGGGAGGAGGGAAATAGCCCCAATAAACAATATAAAGGGAGCTTCAAAGCAGCTACAGAGGAGTATGTGTCGGAGTATTAGGAGCCACTTGGGGTTGTTAGTGTGATGGCTTAGACGTCGCTAGAGAAAATCTTCATGAATGTAAAGCAGGAAAACAAATTAAGAGGCTTGCACTTGGAGGATTAGTTTAAGATTTATGGAAGCATCTTGGAGACAGCAAAGACTAAGCGGAGTGGAAAAAAAGTCTAAGAATCCATCCACCTTCAAGTTCGTCTCCTGTTGAGGGTCACAGTGCGGGTGCCGATCCCAGCTTACATCAGTTGAAAAGCAGGGCACGGGTCTCCATTCAGCACCAACATAGAGAGACCATTTATACTCATGTTTACACTCTTATTCACACCTATGGTCAATTTACCCTTTCCAATTAACCTAATCCCCAGACTGACCTAATGCAGAGTTATTCTCCTGTGAAGCTGTTCCAACAGAAAGCAACTGAGATACATAACAAACCAGCCTGACTTGACAGAGCGCCTAGTCATTAATGTAGTTGGCGACCTCATTTCCCTTTGTTAACCTTGGCAACTGTAATCTGTACTGCAAACACAACTTTAAAATTATGGCTGTGTGTGTGTGTGTGTGCCCTGAAAGAGCTATGTATACTTAACAGTAGTTGTGTTGCAAGTTATCGCTCTCAGCAGCACATAAACAAAGGTGTGGTGCAGGTGCTATGTAAAGACATTGCAATAGCCCAGAGACTTCAAAGTTACAAGGCCACGCAGTGCGTTCTTGCCAATGCAAATTACAACAGAAATTTCAACTGAATGTTTTACAGAAGAAAACACAGCAGCAGCCCTCAAAATATCTCCACACGTTGATGATTTAAGCAGTTGACTTCCATTCTTGGCTGCAGACCCAGACGCTCAACAACTCAAATGTGAGACTATGGGAATCACATCTTGCAAAAGTATTTTTAGACCGGTGCAATTTCTCTGTGACACATTTACTGCGGAGGACCTCAAGAGTGATAACATGCACAAACGGTAGTGTGCCGAGGAAAGTGACAGCAACACTTGGAGCCACAGGAGAGACGGGCCAATTAATGCCACACAGTCCTCAGAGTAGAGCTCTCAGTAATCCCACAACCTACTTTATGGGGAACACTCCCTTCTTTCATTGATGTGCAGATCATTAATCACATTTCGTATCAAATGCATATCCCTTGCCACAAATATTAATTCCCACAACACAGCGCTACATTATGCACAGAAACTATGTTTACTTAAAAGAATAAGCTAGTGGAGTTGAGTATTGTTTGTATGTACATAATGTTTTGGGGGAAAAAACACCTAAAAGTAAAGGGTTATGGGTTTCAGCTTTTTATTAGGGACCTACTACTGCATTTCACTGTTTCCAAGTGAAAACACTCATTAAATAGGGAAAAACTGTGTGATGTCTTAACTCTAATATAACCAATTCCACCTAAAGCTGAGCTCACAAACTTCTCGCTCAGCATGCACAACTGGCAATTAAGACATGAAAGGGCAGCTGTGACGTTTGGTTTACATTATATCTTAGTGGTTTCCACGTTGTGGCCAAGGGATAAGCATCAGGAGAGGTTTATCTCTGTCACTGAGCTCTATGGAATATGTAAACACTGTGTAATCAGTGCAGCAGTGCATGGGAAAAATGCATGTAAGAAAGTGAAGTGCTTCAGGAGTAAGCCGCCATCTTACCCCACAAGCTTAGCAAAAGATAGTGTGGATAAAGAGCTTCTTCCGATGTGTTGAGTTGTTACTGTAAATAAAGTGATTTTTCTTGACAAAACACAGCACGATACCAATTTTTAAAAATCATTTTTAACTGTCTGGCCTTTTTGTTCTTTTTGTTCATTCACACCATTCACAAACCTGAAAAACAGCTTTATTTTGCTGTTGCATCACCTATAAGATGCACTTAAGTCTTTTTGGGTTTGGGTTTATCGTATATGATCAGCACATACAAATTGAGTGAGGGTAAGACATTTTCTTACATTTTGAAATTTAAATTTAAATTTTAAATTTCTTCAACAGCTAACAGACCCTGATAAAATACATGTTATTTTTGCTGCTTTCAGTTCAACACAAGTACCGTGCAAATCAGACTTGGCCTAGCATTAAATTAGACAGCTTGTACGTTTACATTAAGTTTTATTTTCCTGTTTTTTACACAAAAAGCACAGAGTGTGTCTTTGTCTTGTTGAACCACCCTACGACGAGGTGCTGCCTAGGCCTTTCAGAAGATGGTTACTGGTCCTGAATGAAGAGCTTTTCTCTCTCACCCTTAGCCCAAGTTTTAATATGGTGTCCAATCAAAAGTGATTAAGCATCACAGAACACAAACAATGCTGGTCCTTAAATCTCTGTGAACCCTCTTTCACTGGGGCGAATGAAAGAGCACTCTGTCTGCAACAACAGATGACAGACGCACGCTTGAAGATAAGTCTCTTCCATGAGGCTTTATCCCGAGAACACCCACTGTCCAAGAAAAAAATTAAATAAATAAGATATAAATGGTTCCAGTTAATGTTAGCTAATACAGGAAAGAGCCTTAGGATGATACCTAAACCCAGTGGCACCAGACAGGCAAAATTAAGTTACTGAGCTACCGTGAACAACTGAGCTGAAACGTGGAAGACGAAGACTGTGTCAAACTCACAAGACAAAAGCGGTGCAGTGACAATGTGGATAAAATGAACTGTCTCGTCTCGTAATACAGGGCATTTTAAATTAAATGGTATAAATCCAAAAATGTAAACTTGGCAAAATAATCCTGAAATCCTCAAGTCTAGTGCATAAATCACCCAAAATCACAATGTGACTGTATGCTGTATGAAACACTATACCCTGAACTAATGCATTGGATGCATGTAGTTCCTTAAAGACATGTGGACTTCAGAAAAGTTGGATACTGGAGTCGGCTAATGAACAGCGAGTGGGTCCTGTTTGTACTGTGACTTGTTAAACAACCTTAGAGCCAGAGTATTGTTGCAGTTTATATGGGCACAGCAGCTGAATACATTTTTCATCTTTATCAGAATATATATGTAAGATCCTAATGCAATCGTACACATAAATAAACTAACATTTAGAGTTGAGCTACATTCCTAAACACTGCACAAACCCTGGCCGTAGTTTTCGAGAAAATCATCTAAATGAGACGTTTGGTTCTAATGAATAATGAAATGTCATTTTCAAAATTGCTTCCAAATTGCTGAAATATCACAGTATCCAAATGGCAGCAGGCAAGTTATTAGCCCGTACGGTGATTCAATAACCACATGCAAAGTCAGACACATTAACAAAGTTGAAACAGAGAAGAGCAGACAAGCGTCATCACTCAGAGGTCGTGAGAGGGAGGAGCTGGCGCTATGACAACAAGACATCAGCCGTCTGCAGCCTGCTGCCGTCAACAAGTCAGCATGAGCACTACCATCTGACTGGGCTTTCCTGACACTGCCCCCATGCACTCAGCCAAAACTAGCTATTGCTGCTGCTGTTACTGGCTCCTGCTTTCAATTTCACTAGAATGGGCCAAGTAATGGCTTCAGTGTTTTGTGGTCTGCCGACACATATGGTCGATGTAGCGATCTGCTCCGCCCCCGCCTCCCCCCTCACTCACCCTCCCCAGCTTCAGCCCTTTCATTGATGATTTTGCGACATGCAGGGAGATGTGGGCAGAGGGAGATCGACACACAGCCCTGAGGGCCAACCACAGTTATGGGGTGGCATGTATGAGCCACATTATGAGCGCCATGAGAATTGGGCCCCATTGGGTTACACTGTAATCTGAGCATGGAATCAGCCACATACTACTTGTTCCTTTGAACAAGCAGGGTTCAGGTTGAAATTAAATGTAGGAAAGGTGCTGTGCCTCAACTCCGTGTTGTGTAATTGAGCTGTCACTTAAAAAAAAAACAAAAAAAAAACCTCAAGTTAAATATATTTAACATGACATGCTAGTCCTTCAAAGGCAGTCAGAGATGAAGTGATCAGATTCTTTGGAAGTTCTTTGAAACAATTGTTCACCAAAGGAGGCCCTAAAACTTGCTTGCAAAACTATTAGCTTCTCCTAAAAGTTTTGTTATGTGAGTGGGCAGCGAGGTTCTTTTTCTATAGAGGAACAAAAATGTATATTTAGTAAATAACACAATGGTCAAATAGCAGAGTATGTAAAATGCCAAAAGACCAAGCATGCTTGCTATTGGAAAAAACACGATTTGGGGTTGAGCTTGCCCTCTGCTGGAACAAATAGTAATTATACAAAAGGACAATAAACTTGAAAAAAAAACGTATCTTTAAGTTTTAGAAGGAGACTGTCATTTGTCTTTTACTTTCACCCAATACGCAACATGTGAACCTGTGCCTGAAGAACAATAACTTCTTTAGCTACTCACATCACCATCAGAGCCATTCCTGGTAGTGGGCTGTCTCTGCAGTTGACTCTATCTGGCTGCATAACCTAGATAAGAGGTTATTTGCCCAAGTTGTAGAAGCAGCTCACCCTTGTTGTTTTTTTTTTTTTTTATCTGGTTCTGTCTGGACAATTCTTGGACACAAAGCGCCCATTTTGTTCTCCTACTTGGAGATCCTGTTACAGTGTTCCAGACACGGCACAGTCCACAGGCACTGCCATTGGAAGCACAGTGTATGGTGGGTTGGCACAGTCTGCTGCTCCGTCATTTTGTATCACAAACATGTGATGTCTTGATTTCCTTTTATTATCTGCTGTTCTAGGCGAAGGTTTCAGCAGTTTATCATGTCATACTGTAAGTATTCAAAAACACCAACCTCTTTCAATTCCAAAGCAATATTAATTTAGTGGATTCAACAGTTCTCCAGGATTCCCCAAAGGCCTAAACGTCTGATTGTAATGATGATTGCATTATGGCTCAAGCAACTTCTTATTGTTACTGTTGAAATAACAGATTTGAGGCTCAGTTTCCTAACTGTTTGAGATAGAAGCATAAAATACAATATAATGGTTTTTTTTTAAAATCCAGAAACAAAACATGCCATAAGAGACTTATGCATTGAACAGTTGGCCAGTCAATATTACAATTGTCTTGCAAAACACAAGCCTAGTGACTTTGCGTACAAATGTGTTGACACAATCTGGTGGCCTTATTCCTCAAGTGCTTCATATGTACCAAGTACAACAATGAGCAGGAGAAAATGTGGGAACGAGAGAGAAAAAGAGTAGCATTTGCTGACCTCATTCTGACAACAAGCCTGGGAAGAGCCGTTCCCTCGAACTGTTTCACAATACTCCTGTTTATACAGGTGGTGGGTGAGTCGAGCAAGATATGCAAGAGAGCATGCATTTTGTAACACCTCATTATGAATACTAAACACAGGAACCATGTCAAATCACACAGGCACGCGCACACACACACACGTTAGGGCTCTTCATCTCTGGTCCAAAAGGCGAGTCAAGTTTAGTTTTAGTTGTGACATTTACAAGGCATGCGTCATTTTTTAAGCCTGTGGCCAAACAGTGCTCTCTGTTTAAATTTCAGAGTCGATCCAGCAGCTGTCAAACAACACTATCTTTGGGTATCGTCCAGTTTGTGCTCGCCTCCTGGATCCGTGGTCTCTGGTTGGCTCGTGTGTTTGGCTACGGTGCATCTGCTGCAACAACATCCTTTTGGCCAGAGTTCAGACCCGTGAAAGGCTACAATAGCCTGAAGGTGGCTGCCCAGACCATTGTTTATGCAACAGCTCACTACTGCCAGGTTAAAGGGGAAGGGAGCAGAAGATGAATTTTAAAGGGCTTCTAAATAAAAGGAGCCACATAGATATCATTCATAAGATACTTTCTGCTGCCAATTACACTTATATTCAATAATAATAATGGGCACTGGGTTTAATTATAGTGTTTTACAAATTGCAATTTTGTTTAAAGAAGAAATAAAATGTTAAGATTTTATGAATTTTCATTGTAACTACAGTAGAGAAGCTAACCAAATCCATCAAATCGAGTGAGACCCACATAACAGCTGTTCGGTAAACATACCAGAGTAATTGTGTGTGAAAAGCCTTACTTTAACAGATTTTAAACAGAGATTAAATGCAATTAGAGGTCATTTATCGGACCACAACAGGACCCTGGACCAAATGAACATCCTCTGTCATTGTTTCTAACAGTTCTACAGAATCTAGGCGTATTTCAGCTTGGAATGTGATGGCCTTTTTTTTCCACCAGCGAAGCTTCCTTGTGTACAGGAAGGAACATTAATACAAAGAAAACATGTGGTCCTCACAGAGAATGTATATAATAATAAAAAAAAAAACCTTCAGCTTAAGGTCTTCTGAGGTGAATATGAGGAATTTAGGTCAGTGAAGCTGAGAAGTTTAACCAGCTCAAGCCGCTGCAGCCTGGGTGGAAATAGCATGGGAGGCCAGTGAGGGGGAAAACAGTGCGTCACAGCTCCCGGCTTGATTCCAGACTCCCCCTGACGCAAACAACGGCCATAACTATCCAAATCATCTTTGACCATGTACGCCTTGAACACTTTCCGCCAACAGGCAGCACTTCCTCCTAACCTTTGACCTTGGAGAGGGTGTGCCCACCTTGGACTGTACACAAAGCAAAGAGAATGTGAGCACAGCTGTGATTGGCAAATCTGTGATGTTTGAGTACACAGTTGCCTAAAATCTGTAATCCAAGTATACATAAAGTCTTATCTGCAGCAGCCCTAAAATCTGTAAAAATCCCTTTTTAACACTGAACAAATCTCTTAATATGTTTAATATTGGCCAAATCCTGATTCTCTGACACACTTAGGCGTTCACATTTTCACTTGCCTCCTGCACACAAGGCTTTGATTCAGAAACCTCGCTAACACACACACACACACACACACACATTATGAACAGTCTTTATTGAGATGTAAGTGCTTATATAAACATGGACAAGCCCTATTGAGGGTTCAGGCTGGGGCTGAACAATAAGAGGGTAAAAGTTGTTGGACGTTCCTCACAGACGTACAAAATCCAATTATCAGAGCCATGGCGTTAACATTCCAACAGTCTGGCAGGTGACGGATCGGCCTTTTCAGGGCCCCCCTCCCACACAGACTGGAACAGCGGCACCGCCACAATACACACACACACACACAAAATCTCCTAAGCTCCGTTGATCTAAGATCCTCAAGTATTGAGACATATAGAGGGAAGAAGGCAAAGCGTAGGGAGGCAGTTGGGGTCTGGGGGTCTGCCACAGCCACTGGTCTTTTCTTTGAGAGATCAGCACAATCCGCCCAGCAAGCCATATCAGTCAATGGGGCATTCTTCTCTCTGCCTCTGGGTGAGAAAATGCTGATTGCTGATAACACTGCTTTGATTGCCATAATGGGAAAACAACTTTTTGTTTGCCGCATTTGCCTCTAAACAATAAGTGCCTTGTCGACCCTGAGCGATGTTAGTGGCACACAAGATGCTGATTACGTTAACGGTATAACAAAAATCTTGCTCTCGGCCAGAGTGTGGTAAAGTGTTAAAAAATGTTTCAAAATTCTGCATTTTTTGAGGTTCTGGTTGGTAAATAATTTGTTTAATTGCTTTTGCATTAAACCCCTAGAGGTATCATGAAGTTCGGGATCAGTAAAATATTTTTTAAAATTTCTTTCCTTTAAAAAAGCTACATATATGCAGTTTTTATCACATTTAGAGACAGTGTACGTGACTGGGCCCATGTGATATGCAGGGCATCTGCCTACTGTCCTGCCCCCTGGTCATCTCCTAATAAGAGTTAACATATTTAAATATGTGTAGAGAGAGTTGCTGAACAAGATACACACACTATGGAACATAATTATTCTCTCTTTTTTTTTTCTCAGATGACAAAAAAATCTAAAAACATTTTTTATAAATACATATGTGTTGAAACATATTTTTAAAATTTTGATATTTTTTCAGTTGGTCTTTATACAAATGTGATTAATAATCTTCTAATTTATCCTCAGCACAATGTTTAATAAATCATTTGTTTCTGTGTATAAACTAAATTAAAATGATTTTTTTTGTAAGCCGACTTCCTGTGTTTTCATTTAACTTCATAAATAACATTTCAAAGTTTTAAAGTTGCCACTTTTTCCACTTCACTTGTAAGTCCACCTGCTCTACATTGTACTCACTCACGTTTTCTCCTCTTCTGTGTTTTTGCTGTCCTCCTGCACACTGCAATGCGAGTCAAGTGCCTTGTGGCTTTCTCCACCCTCACCAGAAAGCCTGCATGCAGTTAATTATTCTTGGATGGTGGTTGCAAAAAAAAAGGAATTCTTTCTTTTTTTCACTCACTCAGCAGCGGTTTCCCATTCATAATAGTTGGCACTGGTTCTGCACTCCCTGCCAGAGATCACACCCCAACCATTTTCATTTTCCTTCATCCATTTGTTTCATTCATGTCATAGTTTTGGCAGGGGTCCGCACTGTTTTCCTAGTGGCCATCGACCCATCATCACCCTTCTTTTGAGTCTCAAGCTCCTGTTTGTGGCTTTGTTTCCCATCAGAGTAGAGAATTAATAAAGAAACAAGAAAGTCACACTGTGTGATTTTATAATTGACAGTTTACTTCACTGTACCTGTTGAGCATTATGTATTTCAACTTCTTAAAATTAAAATGCCGGGAGTTATAAAACACTGTTGGCAAATGAACTGAAATATGTTCCTGGAAAAATCGATGAAAATTGGTGGATTAACCAAATGGATGGTTGGGACGAATCCAATGATTTTTTTTTTTAAAGATGGTTTAAAATTTGCCTGCCTTCTTATGTCCCAAGGCAAATTTCTGTACTTTATACTTGAAGTGCAGTGGAGTATTATACAGTCCAGTAAGATAAGTATATCATCACACCTACAGTAAACATCAACAATGGCAGCAAAGATAAATCACAGCAGCTTTCAGTACACACCCCAACAGACCCAGCTCTCATGCAGCTGTTGGGCTCTCATTTTACCAGGTCTATCAGATGCACTCACATGCTTTGTTTCAATGAAGTCAATCAAAATGTAAGTTCATTTGTTGTTTGTGTATGATCATCTGAGTCCAAATGCTCGAGTGCAATGCAACCAGAACTGCAACCTAATCCCAGTGAACTCCCCAGACCGGCAAATAAAGCTCATGCTCTTCGTCACTGAGAGCAAGAAATGCTATTGGAAACACACGAGGAAGCTACAAAGTTCTTAAACCCAAACAGGTCTTGTCGTGCTCACCACCACCTCCCATCTGATGTAAGAGGTTGGCTAGCCTAAGTGCGTTGGAGAAGAGTCTCCTGGGGCATTTGGCTCAGTGAACAGAACCAGAAGATGGCTGCACCATGGATTAGGGCCCCACAGTGGTCCATTGTTAATTGGGCGCCATGTGTGAAAGCTACAGAGAGATTAGTTTGTACAGCTGCTGCCATTTGTCATAACTGCCCTTAACAAGACACACATGGCAATGTGAGTTACAGCCAGTGGTTTTAACAGAAAACCAGGCAAAAATATGTCTAGTGTGCATCCAACACTTAGTTCAGCAGACCTGCATAAGCAGATAAAGATGTTCTGGGGAACCACCATGCAGTATCAGCTGGGAGCCAATAAGAGGTGATGAGTCTGAGTCTGAGTGCTACAAGTTTAGCCATATGCAGGTCAACCAGGGTCATTATTACGGCAGCTTAAAAAGGCTACATTAAGCCAGCAGAAATCTGAGACCACAGGTTGCAAACAACCCTGAGAAGACCACGGCGTGATCATCTATTACATCACAGCTCTGTTGGACAGTGTTCAAATTATACAAAGTCTGTGTTTTATTAGACAGGCCAAAGTGGGACAACAAGAGGCCGAGTGAGTGTTGATCTTGTATTGGCCAAAATGTCTTGGCATTATAAGACGCAGCATGTGTTTTAAGGCATAGATGGCGGAGTAGAGTTATTTTTTGGTTAAGAATCCGCAATGTAATTGTGGGCTGTGGAATTGAGCACATGTTAGATGTCTAATTACTATCCTGACATGGTAAATCTGGAATAAGCTTTAAAATCCCTCTCACTTTCAGTTTTCGGTGCGCTGTTGTTGTTTTTTTAAATAGGTGTGGTTCAATTAATTTAAATGTAGTCTTTTGAGCTGAATGGACCATAATCTGCTGCATGTACAGTGAATAGGTTTGTGGTGTTCTGCATATGGCTATGGGCCTGTGAGTGCTGACATGTGTCCGCGTGTGTGCATTTTTGCGTTTGCTTATAAAATTTCAAAGGATTTTCTCAGAGCTAAAACTACCAGCTGCAGCTTTCTGCCAGAGTAAAGAGTGGGTCAATTTGCAAAGAATTTGAGCTATCTGGAGCCTGATCATATGGGCTTTCAGAGGACACCATGGTTACAGGCCCATTTCTTCCACTGTAAAAGTAATGGGCTTCATTAACCATCATGTTGGTGCTGCAGCAGGCTTTCATCACAAGACCCAGATTGCAATGAACTAGTTTGTTCCTAAAACTAATAGTTTTAAAGTGGCAAAGTAATTTTGTCATTACAAAAACCACTGACTCTGGTGTTTCCCATAGTTAAAATCATCCAAATTCTCATCAAATGAAAATTTACAAGATTCCGGTAAAGGAAAAGTGATGTTAATGTTCAAAATAAGAGTTTGTTCCACGGTCTAAGAATGTCCTTTTAAGAATATGCTGGTGCTTGACTAAATTTTCGATTTATGTATCTAAAAATCCCTGTAAAAAGAGAGTAAAAAAAACAGTAGTCATACATGTGGAGGAAATGCTTCAATAAAAATGTAAAACATCTGCTAGTTTGGTGGTCCCAAGACATGAGATTTTCATGATGCTCCAATCAACATGGTGTCCACATTTCCTCTCCTCCTGCCACTCCCTCTATATGGCTCACTTTAATCACACACAGTCCCTGCGCTGCCTTTCATAAAAGACAGCATGTTTATGTAAGTGCTAAAAATGTCAATGACTTATTTTCTTACCCTTCCTGCCTTTTTTTTACATACTGTTCTATAACTTTTCATACAGCACAGCTCGATAAAAAGAAACAACCACGCTGGGAGCTGTATTGTTTACTACAGCAAATATATGGTGTCTACTGCTCGTCAAGATTAGCCTTCTAAATTTGGGAGCTTTTTGAGCCAGGAACCTGACATATGTGAGGGAGGAGTGGAAATTCTTTGGCTGGCTTTGACAACTCAATGGGGTGCTGATGAATCCTTCCCAAGCAGGCCATTCCCAAGCCCCAGACACCATATCCCCACTTTGACCCACTGCACTGACGTTGAAGAGAACTCCTCCGGGGATTCACCCCCACCGCTGCCCCACCCAGACTAAACAGCAATGTGCCCACCCAAAAGTACATTTTGTGCAGCAGTTTAGTGTCAGGCCTGTCTGTGTCTGTCCTGCCCAGGTCTTGTCCAGCCATCGGGGATGAGACATACTGTACCGGACTGCCAGACAAAAGAGGAGACAACCATCACCTCCCTGTCTGGACTGAAAAGACTTTGACGGGGCCGAGGATGGGATGGGGGGAGGGGGGGGGTGCACAGAGAAGTTAGTGTCTCCTGCGCAACCACTCTGCTTGTC